ATGTGCAAGAACTGCACTATTCCTTTTAAGTTTATTTCAAAACTGAGCTTATAACGATTTACATTCAACTCTTACCTTTCTTGGAGTAAAAAAAAAATTATACTTTTTCTTGAAAAATAGTCCTGAGTGAAAAAAGTATTTAGCAACCCTTTTGTAATTCACAAGCTATATGTGACAGGTCACATTCATTTCAATTTTCAAGTTAACTGATTGTAAATCATTTCAATTTTTTAAACAAATTTGCTGTAAGAGTATAAAATTATTTCTAGCAAAGTTATATTAATCACCTTACACTTAACTGGTTAGAATTAATTTAAGACAGATAATTTTTTCTCCCTGTCAAGAGCTTTCTGCATTGCAAAGAAAGCAAACAAGAGGGGAAAATACTATTTTTTTCAAATAATCTGTAAATATGTTGCCTATTTCCACAGTCCATGAATCTCTCCAGAATTTCTTGCTGACTTAAGCCACATGAATTTAAAAGCACATCCTACTCTTTTTGGTTCTCTTAATATTACTGCTGATATCTGAATATCTTAAGCAGGACTTTCTTCATAACAGAGTGAAATAAACTGCTTTCTTTTAAACTATCATTTTGAACAAGGTCTTATTGCAAAAAATTAAGTGGCAGCAAGCATACTGAGGAATTATTTAGGAATGAGTCCAGTACACTTAAAATTATAAAAAGAATATATATAACTGATCTGTTTTTCACTCACTCTACCCATTTCCTGCAGAAAAGTGAAAATAGAGGTAATTCCGTTACGTTTTGAGTAAAACAGAAAACAAGCTGAAATACTGATTATTAGTCTAACATACTTTGTTTTCCATACACAGCAACCTGTCAAGCTGTGTTAGAAACAGTGGCCACAGAGCAGGGAGCGAACACAAAAACACAACTTCCAGCTCAGGACACACGACACACACAGCACTAAGGTACAAACACGCAAAATACTTCTCCGGGCTTAGAATCTTCTTCCATTTTTTCCCCTAAACATGCAGTGCCCTCTCTCAGAGGCAGAATCCCAAGTCAGATGGGCATTTGTTTTGATCCTGAGCAAATCCTCTTGTCCTGATGTTTTTAAGGAAGTGTGTCCTTCAGGCTCCACCTCTGAGCTCCTCCCTCAGGGGATGCCCATTGCTGTGGCAGCTGCACACTCACAGAGTTAGTACCACGTTATCATTTCTAACCACTGGCACTATTTCTAATTCCATGGAACACACACAAATGCCTCTTGGAGCATGCACGTTGAAAAATACTGCTGTTCTCACTTATTGTTGCTTCTGCTGCTATTTCAAGGACTGTTTATGCTTCATGTTTGAGTTATGATGTCCCACGCTTAGCTCTCCTATCTCATCTCTTCATGGCTCTGATGTACAGGTCAATAATCAATGCAGAACTGTTTCCACAACCTTGTTAAGAATCTTATTTTAGTGAATACTTTGCCTTTACAATATAAACGTGACTATTGTAGGGACAAGAAGAAAAGAAAAAAAAATAATAAATTTAATGCACTTAGGTAAAAAAAATAGGAAAAAGTATTTTCTGCATTTTAGCTCAAACCAGGAAATGCACACATGATTCATCATTTTTGTGTACTCCATAAAGTATCTTCTTCCAAGTTGGACAAGAGAATGCAGAAGACCAACCACAGGGATAAGTATCTCCCTTTCCTTCAGGCACTACTCATGCCCCCCTCTACACTGATACTTCCTTCACTTCCTTTTTCAAATGATTCAGACCCACCTATATGGCATTTTTTTGACTGTCCTGTATATCAGACAATGAAAAATATATCATTTCCTCATAAATTATTATGGATTATAATATAAAGTACCATCAGCTTCAGAAAGTGATTTGTCATGTTTCAGCAACAGTGAGAAGGGTTTTTCCCATACAGACAGACTCATTTATAAACACTGAACCTTCAGAAAATCTTCATGAGGGTTTGAAGGACTCAAGGACAGCGTGAGTGAAAATGATACGAGCAAGGGTATTTGAATGCTAACAGATCATTTCTTTGTAGGGAACTGTCTAACATTCCAAGGCATTAATTTCTATCATCAATCTACCCAGTCAATAGTGTAGACAAAGCTAGACTCAAAGTGTAAAGAAGACATAAAATCTGTATCATTATGAAACCTGGATTCAATTTTAGTCAAAGTCCTTTATTAAATAGATTATCATCAGGTGTGTCACTCATCTAAGCCTCTGACTTATTCTTCCCCATTGTAGTAAACATTTCGAGTTGGCAGAGTCACAAATTCTATTTGCTATTCACATTGCATTGTCCTTTGTTTTTACATCTCACCACACACTCTTCCATTTGGGCCATGATTCAAACATAGGCACCACTTACAAGCAATGAGCAAAGAGGGATGAAAACCAAGGTACATTTTACAAGGTTTTCTATTGCCTTTTTTTTTTTTTTTTTTAATCCAATGGAAATAGATGCCAACAGACTATTTTCAGGGTTGGGGAGGAAAAGGAAGATCTTAGCAATTCTGCAAGAATACATCATGAAGGAAATGAAATAGACAAACCAAGTCACATAAGAAAAATAAATAAATAAGAACCTAGAAGACCACTCAAGTTAATTACCCTCAGAATATTTCTTTCTTAACTGTATATACATCTAATAAAAATAGAAAGGGTTCAACATGGGCATTACTAAAATTTTTACTAATCACAACACCAACTGTACAGTCTTTCAAGGGAGCATTGTCCTGCTGTTTACACAAAGCAGAAAATAGATGCTGTCCCCTATCCATTCCAGGGAAGGTGGGCACCCCCAAGCTGAGCTAGACAGAAGTCTTTTGGAGATGACAAGAATGGGGTATCACACAAATAAAGGAAATAAGACCTCTGAAAAAATTAAGCTGTTGCCTGAAGTATTAGTGCAGTCCTGGCAATGCTTTGTCTAGCTTTACTGTAGAAATGGTTATCCCATTTTGCACACCATTCAGAAGAACAGCACTAACTGTGAGAGTGACCACAGCCAGAAAACACGACCTGAGGGCTGGATGTTTTCCACCTGACAGCACCAGTAAGCAGCAGAATCTTGTCTGAGCAACCTTATGTCAGTAATCCATCAATTTGATAGTACTGATTCTACTCCTTTCATATTTCTGTCCCCACTAGACAAAATTTGCAAGATACTAAGAGTAAAAAGAAAGTTATTTTATCACATCAATGATTTGAGGAAGAGCATTCCAGCACTCTCTTATGTTTCATAGATATATTTAAGATTCCCTTCATTGGGATACCTAGAGACCACAAAAATAGCTTGCAAAGGTTTTGTATCAGTTTGAATTCACACATTTGTGTGTGCATTTCTGAATGTAACTGGTAAAGCAGATGAAAGCAAAAGTCCTTTACTTCCACCATGGCTTCAATCTGTGTTTTCCTTGTCATTTTCTTGCTATAAGAAACAATTAGACAAGACCAAATTTCAATGTGCAAGTTTCCTTAAAAGAAGCATACTAGGGTTTTCTGAAACAAAAAAGTTAAATCCAGGGAGGTGGGTTATGGATAACAAAAGTCCTAGGAAGGGTGGTTTTATTGAACAGAGGAGCACCTAGAAGGGGAGGCCACATCAATTCCATTGAACTAACCAATATCTTATGGTCAACAGGGAGATGGAGGCAGGTGAGCATCCTTTGAGATGGCCTCGGGTATCCCATTCCCCTCTGATTGTTCCCTTCACAAGGATATCAGTCTCCTGCAGGTCTCTGACCTCTGACATCCTCACAGGACGAGCTTTGCATAGGATACCTGACCTATTCAGGTGAAGCAAATAACTGCTACCTGTCCATGTGTGCACCATCACTTTAGGTATTTATTTAGGTGACCTAATGAGATGAATGTGTCCTCTCCTCCTTCCTCACTACATTTGAATAGAACCCAGACACAAGTTTTTTCACTCATACAATGTTGTCCTGACAACAGAGTATTTTCATAACTTGCTTGCATTACTTAGCCTTTAGAAAATGACAAGTGAAAGACCCACAAGTACTATTTACATGTAACTGTTAATCAGGCAGGAGCTACTACAATCAAGTTTTGCTGAGTTTGTCTCATTTGGATGGGCTGCCGGACAGCAAATAAATCCCTGGAAAATATTTAAATGCTCTAAATGAGTGTCCCAACTAGAAGTCCAGTCTCTAAGCAGAGTCCAAAACTGCTGAGAAACCAATTTTTTCTCATATTTAAACTAGCATCACACTAATACAATATTACTACTTTGTCATCAAGATTGTAACTGGAAAACATTTAGGTACAAACACCCATACAGATGAGGCAAGTGCAAAGTTAAACATTGTAACAATACTCTTGGAACAATTTGGATTACAAAAATATCTTGGTCCAACGACTGTCTACAAGAGATATTTATTTCATGTATTAGTATCTGAAAGGTTGTTCACCTTACTGGCTTTCACTTCATTCAAGTTTTGATTTGTTAGTTCAAGTTATGCCACTCAAAAGCTAGAAAATCCTTTCTGGCTTTGGAAAGAGCAGAGAGATTAACATTGAAAAGGTGAACAAAAATTAAAAGAAACAGACCAGCTGCAGCTGGTAATGAAATCAGAGCAGGTTTTTATCTGAATTTATTAGAAAGTTCAGAACTGTTTTCTGCTGACTGGAAGTTTTCTGTTTTCTGCCCCTGCACCCTAAAATGTGCTGTAGTGCAGAAGGCAAACTTTTATCCTTTCCTACTGATTTATTTATGTGACACCAGCATTCATGAATGCTAACATTTTCTAGTGCAGTGTCAGTCACAGACTTGTGCTACACAGGGAGGAAACACCTCTCCTGGAATTGCTTCCCCAGGTCCTCCTGGCATATTCAGCGAATCCAAAGGCTTTTTACTTTTACTAAAGTCTTCACCAGCAGGGCTGAAACACAAATGTGTTCAAAAACTTCTGGAGAAATCACCTCAGAGGGAGCACAAATAATTGTAACCCCAGTGCATCTAACCCCACTCTAGTTTTGACTGTACCTCTGTGTGAGAGCTGCTCCAGGATGATCCTCAGGTGCTGCAGAACAGGGGCTGAAATGTCATATTTATAGATGTCTATTACTGGCACTTGCTGACATCTCCCAAATATTCCATCTGCAGGAAAGAGAAAAAAGAAAAGGAAAAATACACATTTCGTTTTCTGAGAGGAAAAACAGCGTGATGAGATGCGCATTTCCAATGTATCCTAATTATACACTGAAGGAACCTTTTAAAAGACACTTTAAAAAGCTATCAAAGGACCACTGAAGTCATGAGACAGAATATTTTCTATCAAAATAAATAAATACTGGAAAGAATATTAGTTGGAGGAATATCCTATTGTATGAGATAGGCATATAGTTTATTTTATGAAGTATTTTCAGACTTCTGCTTCCCAAATCTTTAGATGTAAGACTTCTTTACTGACAATTCAGTGAGAGAAAATCTTAATGTTCAATGCCTACTATGATGTGGATAAGAAGTGCAGCATCCAGAAATATAAATATTAATTTGCAGAAAACTATGTGGATTTGCTGAAACATTTTTAACGTGGGAGCTGTGTGTTAGGCATTGGTAAATGAGAACTGAATCCATAATGGCTAGTAAAGGCTCATTTCAAGAAGTACCCTCTAATGAATGCAATAAAAGAAAGCTTCTCACAGAACAATGAGATATTAATGTGGCCTAATTTATTTAGCTCCATTCCATTTGTCTGAAATGACAGACTCTTCTCATCAATGTCTTTTCAAATCACACCTTCTAATTAATTTAGCTTCTTATTAGTCTTTATTTAGAGAATTGTTCATTTTGAGGCAAGCTTCCTGTGTATGTGTGGGAGGAACAGGGAGTTCAAACATTCAAATTACCTTTCTCCCTTTCATACAAAAGCCTAATTCAGAGTCTAGGTGCTTCACATACAATCTGACCATCTGCAATTCTGGGTCTCTGAGAAAGAAAGTGGTTTCATTTATTGTTCAAAATAGTTCTCTTCTATATAGTGATCCAAAGGAAGCAATTTAAATGCAACAAGTTTAATTAGCAAAATATTCTACTGCAATCCTAGTTTTAACACAGTAATTACTTCTGCTCTGATACTACATCTATGCTCCAAAAGGAGAACTGCATCAGATGAGCAGAAAATAAGGGTAAGCATTAATTTGCAAACGTCCATTACTTTCTCTCCTACTTTACAGACCTAAAAGACTACAAATGGGAACTACTGGCCCAGCTGTTCACTAAACACAAATAATGGCATAAAAGAAAATAAACCAAACCAGGATACAGAAAAAGGGCATTATTAGCCCTCACTGTTAAACACAAATACCTCATTGAAATTAGCCAACTTCTTCTTTCTTCTCCTTTCCAATCCTCCTGTCACTTACAACTGCCAAATTAAGTTAATTCAAATTAAAACCCTACATCTGAATCTAATTTTGCTATTGGAAACTAGGTTTAATTTGGAAACCACACAGACAGATAGGGTTTGGTTTTTTGACATGCCATGTGAAAAGCAGCCTAACAGCAGATTAAAATATTCATCTCTGTTTAAAAACCTGCTGCAGTTGAAAATAAGCAAAGTATATAAATATCAGTCAACTTGTAAATGGATGGATAACAGGAAGAGGGTTTTGATTCAGAAAGGAACAGAAGATCATCTCAGTGTTTAGGAACAAGATTGTTCAAAATGAAACATAACCTGACACAGCCAACTGTACTTTGGGATGCCACCATTACTGGCTACAAACAATTAGTACAAAATCTATGTTCACATAAACTAATATCCATACATTTTTTAGAGATAATGTACCTTAAAAATAATTCTAATCTTATTTTAGAGTCCAGAAAAGCATACTCATTCAGTAAAATTGAAAGATTTTTTGAATTAAGTATAATTTAAGGATGTCTCCATGGATGTAAGAGCTAATTCACTCACAAACTCCAAAAGAGACCAAACCGTTTTCCCAAACTCAGAGTTTTCAGAAACCTTCAGCCTTTTTCCTTTGAATAGAACAAAACCCATTTAAATTCTAAAATTAACAATTAGCACATGAGCCTGAGCTGCATTATACAATCTATCCAAAAACACTGGGACTACTTAGGGAGAAACTGCAAGTTACTTTGGCTTTTGTACTTGAAATATGGGCATAATAAGCTTTGGAGGGCTGCAACCACAAATAGCACTGGGCTCTACTAAATGCAACACGAGGAGAGAGGAGTGAGAGCAGAATGCCCCAAGGAGTGGTTGGCAAATACCAGCTCTAAAATACAGAGGATCTTTGTGCCGGGGATTACAGTTGGGCTGGAGTCGTGCAAATAATACATTTCATCATTCAGCTGCTTTTTCTAAAAAAGTAGGAATTTTCCCAGATTTTTCTCTCTGGTTTGTTTTGTTTTGGGTGTGTTTTGACTTTTTAATTTTTTTAATTAATAAGGTTTCTGTGGCAAGATATAAGACCTAAAAAATTAAATTGAGGTTGTGCATTCAATTTTCAGGGTGTCTTTTAAATAAACTTACTTTCAATTACACAGATTGCAGGGCAAGAAAAGGCAAGGAAAAGCCATTTTACCAAGAAAAATTGTCAAAAGTGCCCCTCTTTTACTTTCAAGAAACCTAAATGGTAGATGTGGGGTCAGAAATGGCTTAGATCCAGCACAAAGCTCATTTTTCCTTGCAAAACAGATTAAATTAAATTACAGCTAATTTTTAAAATGTCCAGCTTTGTCTACCATGAACTATCCCAGTCACTGTGGGATTTACAGTAAGTCAGTACATGGTGCATCTTTCTGGACCCTGCTGTGCAACCAGCTGGCCTCAAACAGTGAGAGAAATGTCCAAAGCTGGCGCAAGGCAAAAAAGAAAGTGGAAAAGCTCCCAGATTTTACAGAAGATGTATCAGGGCAGAGGAAGTTCAAAGAGTGAGTGATGTTTTAATAACACCATGCTCTGTATTCCGACAGCTGCTGAGAGGGTGCTCACACTGAACTTCCACTGAATTTGTCTTAGGAGAGGGAACGTAACATGGAAAGGACATCTGCACTTTACACAAGCCCAGAATGAGGGAAGGGTGAGGCTGATCAATAGGGACACATGTTTCTTATTAAGGTGTAATCATTTGCTGTCAGCAAAAAGCAGAAATTTTCATAATAATATCTTAACAGTTATAGTTAGACCAGGGAAAATCTGCATTAATAGCATGCTCATGTTGGCTCTTAGAGAGCTGCTAGGTTTGTTTCCAAAGAAGACAATACACCCATACACCCAAGGGAAATAGTGAAATGTTTCTTTATCCATTTGGCTCTTTTGCTGATAGGTTAATACTTGAGAAGAAACAGAAACAGAAAATTTTACCATCTTGAATTTCAACAAATATTTATGCACTAAAGAGTTAGATGCTAAGATTAAAGGACACAAATTTACTGTAACTCAGATGCCTAATAAGATCTCAAAGAGTGTCAGATGTCTTTTATTAAAGACAACTTCCTGAAGCATGGTATACATATTTACACTGAATATTTATCAACTTCTAGTGAAAAAATTACAGCTGATAGATTAAACTATGAGCAAGTCAAAACACAGGTTCTGGAAGGCTGATCATTGAGAGAGGTCTAAAAGGAAATGGAAAACACCCATCATTATTCATTATTGTTGCCCATTTTTCATGAATTAGTGTATATATATGACCTACTGATGAAGTACCACATTGTATTCATGATTGACATCCAGGTACTCAATTATGTAATAGGAGACCACAAAAACCTACAGTTTGAAACAGTGTTGAAGAGTTGATTGCACCAGTTTGTTGATTTTGTAAAGGAGATGGGCATCAAGTGCTAGAGGTACTAAAAAAATCTTTGGAAACTTGTGCTGAGTGTCAACCTTCACCTTGAAGGCAACATTATTTGTTGGGCAGCTGATTCATGAAGTTATTCATAGGCAGTCATTCCTCAAAACAAAAACAAACAAACAAAAAAAACCCAAAAAACAACAACAACAAAAAAAAAAAAAAAAAACCCCAAAAAAAAAAAAAAAAAAAAACCAACAACCCTATCCTTGGCAAGAGAAAAGTAGCCCATCCCATCCTAGAACCATTATGTATGCCTAATCTGATGACTGAAGCTAATATGTATCCAAGACATGGCACAATTTTGAGTAATACCACCAAAAAATTCTTGCTGAGTGTCTCTTGCTACTGAGCAAAGGTCTGAAGACTGGTAGAGATACTGGAGTTTGTCTGCAGGCAGCTGAAAGCTTGATATATGTAAATTAAAAGATTGTGCTGTGCAGTAATTAATTATTTAGATCTGCATGCAGTGAAACTTTCACATGGCACTGACAAGTGACCTTTGCAAAGGAGCCTTTAAGCAGATCCTTTGAAGCACCTGGGTCTTCTGCTCTTCAAACTCCTGCAGCAGCCAGAAAGGAGCAGCTCTCCAGACAGTGTCAGTAGTCACACTTTAGCTTCCTCACACTAATTACCTGACAATTGATAACAAATTAAAGTAAAGCTCTGTATAAAATTCAAGTTTTGCCCCATACTGCAGTCATTGTGCTCTGTTCCTGTAAAAAAGAAAGTCCACAGACCCAGTGGTGTGTGTCAAATGGCAACTTCTGCCACCTCGGCTTGCATCATTTGTGCTCTTGCAGTTAATTGGAAAACCTACTGTAATGTTTTCAATGGGCATCATTCTCCAGCAACTTAACCTCCTGTAAGAAAAGAATCCTTTCTTCTCACTGAATATGGACATCACTTCACACTCCTTCCCCTAGCTAGTAGTTTAAGGTGCTATAAGGTCCAGGACTAATAAAAAGGTCAGTGTTACAACCCACAGTAAGAGCCTGAATTGCCTACTGGAGAGATTAAATCCTTTTCCAATGGGAAGCATAATATTTGCATCTCAAAAGTCTCAAGACACTGAACTTCAAGGTCACAGATGTTACACGTTTAGGAAGTATGAAGGAGATTGTTAGAGTATTTTATTCTTCTTTCCCTGCTGCTTCCCATAGTATGGAGTTCCTTTCAAAATCCCTTTTCAAAAATTAAAAAGAAAAGAAATTAATGTTACTGTTCCTTGAGGAGGATGTTAAGTTGCATGCCAGGAAGCTTTCTTCAAAA